CGTGCATGTCCTACAGGGAGGAGACCCAGGACGCACTGGAGAGATTATATATCTCTGCTGGCCTGAGAACGCCTCGGCGTCCCCCCCGAGGAGCTGGTAGAGGTAGCTGGGGAGAGGGAGGTCTGGGTATCTCTCCTGAAGCTGCTACCCCCGCGACCCGAACCCTGGACAAGCGGAAGGTAATGGATGGATGGAAATTGTGGCTCCTAACCTGAGTTTCTCCAGCTGACATTTAGGATCTTCCAGTACATCAGAGAGCTCTATCACTCCTGAGTCTCCTGTGTTATTGTCACTCAGATCCAGCTCTCTCAGGTGTGAGGGGTTTGACCTCAGAGCTGGAGTCAGAAAAGCACAGCCTGTATCTGTGACTCTACAGCCTGACAGCCTGTAAAGAGAAGGAGAGAAACTCTTCATTCTCTTAGCTCTGGACAAACAGCTCAGATCAGAGAGGAAAGTATTTATATTACAAACATTTAATTTTAATCAAATAGCTAATTTACTACTAATTAAAAAGCAGTTCATTTATTTTATCACTGAAATTTATATAATTATCTCAGTTTAAACATTGTTAAACACATTTGTTTGTAAACAGTCTGACAACTAACCTGAGTGTCTGCAGCTGACATTTAGGATCCTCCAGTACAGCAGAGAGCTGTATCACTCCTGAGTCTCCTGTGTTATTGCCACTCAGATCCAGCTCTCTCAGGTGTGAGGGGTTTGACCACAGAGCTGGAGCCAGAATAGCACAGCCTATATCTGTGACTCTACAGCCTGACAGCCTGTAAAGAGAAAGAGAGAATCTCTTTACTCTCTCAGCTCTGGACCCATAAATCAGTTCATGAAGGAAACACCATCATGACAGCACCTCTCTGGTATCTACACACACGTGTCACTCTGACTGACGGACAGGTGTCTGTGTGTCTCTGCCTGCTACAGCCTGAGTGACGCTTCTGTCCTTCATTTGTCTTTCTGTTTGTTTAGTTCAGTTTCCCCCCTCCTGTTGTTCCCTTTTAGAGACCACCCACTGCCATTCACTCCCCTCTTACTCTCAGACCCCTCTGAACTCTGCCAGCCGTCTCTCACAGTGCCTGCCAGTTTCTCCCGTCTCCCGACTTCAGCTGCACTGTTATTCAGTAAATACAGCCTCTGCAGTGCTGATGCTCGTACACCCACTGCTGCCTCAGCACAGCATTTATAGTACAATATAATTACATTTTAATAAATTCCCAATTACAGCTACAATCAATTAATGTATTATTTTAATGTATAATAATAACAGCTATGAATAATTATTTCTTATTCATTTTTTAAATTGTGGCTCCTAACCTGAGTTTCTGCAGCTGACATTTTGGATCCTCCAGTACAGCAGAGAGCTGTATCACTCCTGAGTCTCCTGTGTTATTGTTGCTCAGATCCAGCTCTCTCAGGTGTGAGGGGTTTGACCACAGAGCTGAAGCCAGAGAAGCACAGCCTGTATCTGTGACTCCACAGTCTGAGAAACTGCAAAGAGAAGAAGAAAAACTCCTTATTTTCCAAGGCTGTTTCTGAGGTGTTACCCAAAGCAAGGGACTCTAAAAATCGGGATGTCGTTTTCATCGTATTGCATTTTTTCCTTTATATTTATATTTTTCCTTTATATCTATATTTATCAGTCTTATTGCCTTCTATCTGTGTTCAACTCTTGCATGACAAAAGAAATGTAATCATGATCTTATAGTGTTTTTGTGATATTTTTCATACCTAACTTGAAAAAGGGAATGCTACTCACAATAAATCAGACAAATAAAGCAATGAAAATCATTTGGTATATTTTATCTAAACATGATTTACCTAAATTCATTAGGTCAGTGACTTTTGGCCGCTAACAATAATTAAAAACTCACCTGAGTGACCTGATATTACATTGTGGATTCTCCAGCCCAGCAGAGAGCACGTTAACCCCTGAATCCATAAGGTCATTGTGACTCAGATCCAGCTCCCTCAGACATGATGAATTTGAGCTGACAGCTGAAGACAAGACTTCACAGCTGTTCTCAGTAAGGTTACAGCTGTTCAACCTGAAAAGGAAAGCATGTTAAATTAGACATCTCCACACACCCCAGACATTACACATCCTAGAAATCTCTCTTTCAGGCACCTTAGGGTGACTAAAACTCCTATAGTACACTGTATTTCGTATTGCCTTGTATTGTCATTGAATTGTGTTGTCTTTGTGTTTTACTGCATTACAATTTTGTCCCTCATTTGCACTGTTGTTGGTCCTGTTGTCCCCCTGATACTGAAACTGAATACAGCTGGTTACATTAACAGATCTTTATGTCTGGAGGGGTGGCATGATGGTGCAGTGGTTCGCACTGTCGCCTCACACCTCAGGCACCAGGGTTCCATGTGTGTGGAGTCTGCATGTCCTCCCTGTGTCGTCGTGGGGGTTTCTCTGGGTCCAAAAACATTCTGAGGTTAATTGAAATTACCCATAGGTGTATATGTGTGAGTGTATGGTGTGTGAGTGTGTGAGCCCTGCGATGGGTTGGCGCCCCATCCTGGGTTGTTCCCTGCCTTGTGCCTATAGGCTTCCCCGTGTGACTCCAAATAAGACAAGTGGTTTTAGAAAATGGATGGATGGATTTCCTCATACAATCAGTTTAGTATAATATGTATACTGTTCACTTGACAATGTTTAATGTTGTTATACAAACAAAAATGACAATGCTAAACACCCACAGGAAGTGTACTTTCAAAACCCAAAAAAACTTGTATATTGTGTGCCACACTGCAAAGAATTGTTTGTAACATTTCAGTTTTGTAGACGAAGTACTTTTATTTCATTAGTAGTTTAATAAAATTAATTAAATAAATCATCCAACATTTTAAGCGATTCCTGAGGATGAACGATGATATTTGAGTAACATTCAGTTATACTCTACAGGCATTATGCGGACAGCATAACACCACAAGTGACCCAGGACTCACAGTGCTGTTCTGGATGCCTTGACCACAGGCAGCAGCCTCAGAAGACCTTCATCTGATCTGATGTATTTTTTCAGGTCAAACACATCCAGCTCCCCTTCTGAAGTCAGCAGCACAAAGACCAGAGCTGACCACTGTGCAGGTGAGAGGCTTTCTGTAGAAATTCTTCCTAACCTCAGGTATCTTTGGACTTCCTCGACTAGAGAGGTGTCATTTAGTTCATTCAGACAGTGAAACAGATTTATTGTCCTTTCTGAGGGGAGATTCTCCCTAATCTTCTCCTTGATGTAGCTGGCCGTTCTTTGTGTGTCATGGGATCTAATTCCTGTACGTGAGAGAATGCCCTGTAAAAGAGTCTGACAAGAATCCATTGACAGACCAAGCAGGAAGCGGAGGTAGAGATCTAAGTGCCCAGTCTTACTCTGTAAAGCTTCATCCACTGCCTTCTTTAGAAGATCAGTGAAGGTGTTTTTTTGGAGTGAAGTTAATGTGGAGAAGTTGAATTTCTGGTTTACATGTTTTAAAAACACATACAAAGCAGCCAGGTACTCCTGAATACTCAAATGTACAAAGCAGTAAATCTTCTGCTGATACAATCCAGTCTCCTCTATAAACATTGCTGTGCACATTCCAGAGAAGACTGAAGCTTCACTCACATCAATGCCACTTGTTCTCAGATCCTCCTCATAGAAGATAAGATTGCCATCTTGGAGGTTCTGGAAAGCCAGCTTCCCCAGTTTCAAAAGAAATTCCTTATTTACTCTTAAGGATTCTGAAAAAGGCTCTGCTGCTTGTGTTCTGAGATACTTCTGATTTTTCAAGGATGTATGAAAGATGACAAAATGTGTGTACATCTGAGTAAGAGTTCTGGGGATTTCGCCACTGCCTGCTTCACTAAGCAGCCTCTCAAGAACCGTGGCTGAAATCCAGCAGAAGACTGGTATGTGGCACATGATGTACAGGCTTCTTGATGACCTCACATGTGAGATAATCCTGCCAGCCAGGTATTGATCACTGAATCGCTTCCTGAAGTACTCCTCCTTCTGAGGATCATTGAATCCTCGTATTTCTGTCACTTGATGGACACAGTCAGGAGGGATCTGATTGGCTGCTGCTGGGCGAGAAGTTATCCAGAGGAGAGCAGAAGGAAGCAGATTTCCTTTAATGAGGTTTGTCAGTAACACATCTAATGATGTCGGCTTTGTTACATCAAACCAACTCTCATTGGCCTGGAAATCTAAAGGAAGGCGACACTCATCCAGACCGTCAAAGATGAGCAATACTTTGCAATTACAAAGTTGAGCAGGTCCAAGCTCTTTGATTTCTGGGAGGAAGTGGTGGAGTAGGTCTATCAGACTGTATTCTTTCTCCTTCAGTAGATTCAGATCACGGAAAGGCAGTGGAAATACAAAATGAACATCCTGATTTGCTGATCCGTGAGCCCAGTCAAGAATAAATTTCTGCACAGTGACTGTTTTTCCAATACCAGCCACGCCTCTTGTCAGCACAGTTCTGATCTGTGTCTTTCTTCCAGGTTGTGCTTTAAAGATGTCATTACATTTGATCACAGTCTCCTGTGCTGTAGGTCTCTTGGATGATGTCTCAATCTGTCTGACCTCATGCTGATCATTCACAGCTCCGGTTTCACCCTCAGTTATATAGAGTTCTGTGTAAATCTGATTGAGCAGAACTGCTTTTCCTTGCTTAGCTTGTCCATCACACACATATTCAAACCTCTTTTGCAGTGTTTGTTTTAGTAAATGTTGAAAAAACATCCTTGTTTCACCTGTAAAAACAAATTTTCATGATTATTTCATGATTTATCACGTTTCCTTATTGTATGTTTTACATAATCTTAATAAACATTAAAATATTTTAACATCACAAAGATTATTTCTCTTCTGGCTAGATTAATGTTGTACAATGATACATTTCAAAGTATATGATAGAATTTAAACAGAATCTAATTGTCATCTTTCTTTAGGTGTGTATGTATGTATGTGTCTGATTGTTTCAGGATTTTAAGATTCCAAATGATGAATGATGGTGTCACTGAACTGTTGATGATACGCTCATTGTTTCCTTATAATATTCAGCATCAGTCATGCTTAAATTTAACTGGTGATCAGGCAACGTCATAATAATGCAGAACAATCACTACAAACCTATACAGTTGGAACATGATGGACGTATAAATAATCCAAAATTCTTACTGTGCTCCAGCCTGTCAGCGAGATCCATCTGATTCATGGTCCTCAGGACACAGGAGAGTCTGATCTCTCCTCCTATAAAAGGCCATACCAGCACATCAATGTACCATAACTAATATGAGACATTTTAATTTTCTGTAGTTTGTAGGTTCGCCCCATGTCACCTAACTGGTGTCTCTAAACTGGGCAAAGACTATGACTATGTACAGGTCTGTGCCCTGTGATAAACTGGCATCCCATGCAGGGTGTACCCAGGATGTACCCCAGCCGTGTGCCCTGTGATAGACAACACATGGCATCGATTGTTTTCCCCTGGATGCAAAAGTCATGTTTGTATTTCAAAGTGGCAAGATATCCACCCCATAGTTATTAGGGCTATCAAAGTTAACCCTTTAATGTGTGCAATTAATTTCAAAATAATTACATGCTAGTAGTTTTTAATAGTGTTAACACAGACTTGCCCCATTTAAGGTCAGGACAGTGCGTTTATTGTTTTCTGTACCACATTGCTCATTCGTTCCTGTCATGTTTTTAGATTTTTGATGTTACTGTGCACTTTTTTCACCGGAAGCCCAATTTGAACAAGAAATGTGCTAGAAAACTTCTTTTATGCCATTGATTTACAACACTTCATAAAATTAGAAAATAAGAAGAAATCGGCAAATCCTTCATTAACAAAATTAAATCCTTTGCATTTTATCACTCATTACGTGACACATAACAAATGTTTTTCTTAAATTGTAAATTTCACTTCACCGTTGGGAAAAGTGAGTCTTAAAATTTCATCTTTAAAGGTATTTTAAAGGTAAATTAAGAAACATACACATATATATAAACATACTTGTGTATTTTCTTGCTTCAGTTAATTTTATAAATGTAAATTATATGGAAATTTTTATCTAAAATCCATGTAAAGATCATGAAGTATCATTAAAATTATTTTGGCTGTGTGTTTTATCCACAAACGCAAACTAGAATATAATGCTGCCTGACTGCATTGAAAAATTAACTGTAATTATTGTTCAAATTCTTGAAGTATAAATGGTGAAGGAATGCAGAGTGATTCTCTGTTGCTATTAATATAATGTAACCTCTAGCTACAGTTTATTTTCCTCTTGCTGATTCCCTGTTATTTCACCTTTTTACTTTGCACTTATTCTGCCTTTTTTCATCTTTTCCTTAAAGAAATAGTTATAGTACTTACTTTTGTGTTGTTAAAATTTGGCATTTATTTATTTAAGGCAGGGACCTGCTAATTTTCCAGCCTTCCTTTACCCGTGAGTCGGGTATGAAGCCCCTC